TGATGCATTATTCATGACTTTGTTACCACTTAGTCGGTTTATATTAATTGGAGAATTAGTTCATAACAGTTACAGCTAACTTTCACTTTATACTCCCAGTCACACCAATTCACGTTTACGGTCTTGTTTGCCCAGAGATCTCCCAGATAAATTGTTTTTCGGGTCAAGCTCACTCACAAATATGTCGTTTTACCAAACAAAAGACAATCAAACAGAAAACAGACTTTCAAACAGAAAACGCAGGAAAACGCATACACATGTAAATGTAACGCCGTTGTAGGATTGAAAATGCAACAATATTGGCATAGTTTAACCAGCAAAACAATTAATTCAAAATTAGCGACAGCATAGGGTGCCACATTGTAAAAGAAATAATTTCATTATATGATGTCGGATCAAAGTCTTTTTTCAATAGGATAAAAAGATGCCAAAAATTCACGAGGTTGATTTGATTATCAAATATGTGTAGGTGAAGGTAGAATTATTTTATGCCAAAATTCATGATATAGTGGTCTTTAAATCAGTTGAGATTAATAAATTACTCAGTTTATGAAAATCTCAACTACCCTTTTGCTTATACTCAGTAACATTATCATTATTACACGTATCAATGGTAAGTCATTAAATTCAGGTCTGTTTTGTTCGTTTTTTCCTTTTGGTATTTTCACCGTATCAGTTATTGGGTAAATTTAATTAAGCAATGGTTACAAAATATTTTATACCCTAAATCACACCTTTAGGATAGGCCTGTGTTAAAATCGTATATAAATTTAAGACTTGATGAATAATGTAGTAAATGGGACAAAAGTAGCGTAATCGTAAGTTATGTTGGATTTGAATGACCAATAGCTCGCAATTTTAAACAAATCGTCGGTGGACAAATAAAACGGTATGAAGTTGGTGTGGGAAAACGAAGTCAGTTGCTGATATTACTGTGTTGCAGAGGTTAATTTTGTCTTACCATAAGGGAGGAACTCCCCCGATACGGCACTGCTGTGGGGTGCGGGGGTTAAAATTCTCATTGCAACCTATCAGAGAATTCAAATCCATTTGGGGAAATGGCAAGAATTATACCACTCTCACAAAGGATCCATCATAATGGCCGTTAGTCCACACAAAAGAGAGGCTTGACATGCAAGCTCAATTGTTGACCTTTTCAACTCTTAACTGAAATAATACAGGCTACCGGTACGTGCATGGTTTCGTGAAGGTGTATACTGTAGTCCAATATCCTATACAAAATTAGTAAAGGTTCTTTACAAATATAGCAATAACCCACAGCACATGTAGTGCATTGCTTATTGTGCGGACTACTTTACAGCAGAGTGTTGACACATACTCTTCGGCCGTAGCCGTTTACGGCAGACGCATATGCGAAGATCTTATAAAACACTAGCCTAGTCAAACCTCGTCTAGAGCACTCGTCATCAGTCTGGGACGCTTAAAATGGTGGGTTTTTTTTCGGGAATACGGCTCATTCACTGCGGTCAGTTATTCGGCCCAGTGAGCTCCTCAGTTAACCGAGGTGGTTGTTTTCGGGAGCCTGACCTCAATCCCTTCGCGACTGGCAAGTTCATGTACATGTACATGCACAATAATGGACGTGACTCGCACAAAAACCGGTCCAGGCACTTCAAATGGGAAAACGTGACTTTGCCTTGGGCTTCAGCAACTTCAATTCTGTATACTGGCCTGCAAGCCTATGCAACACTGGTTACGAACAATCAGAACAACGATTCCCCTCACGAAAATTCAGAGGATGAATAAATCCCAGCTAGTGAATCCGATAAGAGGGACCGTAAAGAAAGGAGCATTCCACGCGTTGCCACTGGGAGAACAATCAAATAACCCTTGAAAGTATGTAACGAATGGTGTTAATTCCAATAATACCGAGATTTCCCACTTTCGGGGCTAAGGTACACTGTGTTTGAGTCTCACTTTTCTTCGTAAGAAGGCCACATTTTGCAGATGAATGGCTGGGGCAAGTTGCACTTCAGGTCGTTCCATTTTCTCCACTTGATCTCCATACAGTCTTCCCCGTTTGCATTGTTAGGTTCACCCGGAAGGAATCAGTAGAAGGGTCGGCGAATGCTCTAAAAGCTTTGCCCAGCAAGCATACAGTGCAACTTGCGAAGACGTAAATGGATCCGTCCACACAAAGTTCATTTCTCTGAGAAGTTTGAAAGGCATTTGCGTGTGGGAGTTGTATGGTTCTAAAATAAAGAGGAAATCATCACCTCTGTAAAAAAAAAAATCCACTAAAAGCAAACAAACGAACATGCGAGCCACACCAGCCAGCCAATCAAGGCAGATACTTGAATATATTTTAAAGACATTCAGGTATGTTTTAAATGCTTAGAAACCCTTCACATGAATACAGCAGTAGGTGGGGGCCTATGGTTTAAATGGTTTAGGAAATTAATGTGAAACGTAATACTAAAGAAACATTAAGTCAAGATGTGCGTGCTTTTGTGACGTCACAATGACTTACCAGGTATTAAAATTACAAGAATGTAACATATAATGAGCGCTCTGAAATATATTGCAAATATATATTTCAGAAAACTAATTATATATTATATTCTTGTGAATATTCTGATCACGGTGCTACGCAGCCCTTTCATATTAAAATTACAAGTAATTGATGACGTAACAAGGTATCAAATTACAACAAATTTCAGGCCAAAATAAATAGAAACAAGTAAAAGAAATGTTTAAGTTGAACCTGCGAAGTTAACCTTGACTCTGTCCTTTGAATACGGATAATTCGTAATAAACTGCACCACTGAGAGGTTGTCAAAGATTGGCCTTTTTCGTAGATATCAATTGATTTTAGAGCATCTAAAAACAATTCTCTGCACCTAGTGTACGTTAGTGGTTTGTTCCGAGTACGCTTGGAAGATTTGGTGGAAGAACAAAATGTAAGGGGGGTAAAAATAAACTCGTCGTCCCCAATACCTATACCGGGTCTGTGCAAAAACCTTAGCAAAATACAAAATGGCGAATGACTCTCTTGAGAAAACGGAATAAACGCCACGTTAACCTGCCTGAACTTATCAGTTTTTGGATTTAGGAATGAAAATCTTAAAACCTTTGCTGTTGAGAAGAACCGTAATACGATTGCATTACATTTCTGTAATTTCATTATGTCTTAATAAAAAAGCATACTTAATACACACATAACATGCAGGACGAAACTGCATAAGAGAACAATCGTCTTTGGCAAAGATGTTCAATATTTTCTTAAGTTGCTCCAAAGTTAAAGGAACCTTTTGAGCCGGAGGGTGGTGAAGATCTTTTCTGAAACTAATCAGCATTTGTTGAACAAGGGGAGAATCTACATGATTGATGTGTAAACATTCATTAAGGAGTGAAGCCATTTGATGGCACCAGCAGTTGTTGCAACGACACTATCAGAATTGGACCTGGACTTGATTTCAGAAAAATAAACTGCCAAAACATCTTCCCTTATTGGAAACGAAAGACGAAATCTATTCTTAACCAACCATTTTATAAAAAGTCGACACCTGTGAAAATATGAATTGCACGTACCCTCCGACTTGGAAGCAATAGCCTCATACAACAATTGCTCCTTACGACCGGAAATTGCAGGTGGAAATTCTAGCCAAAAAGGTTGCTGGAGAACGATCTGTATAAAAACAAAGGATAGCATTACCGGACACTATATACAACAATCAGAATTTTGACGGCGCCCACCAGACTCTCAAATTCAGATGAGCCAAGCGAAGAATGTTTACTTCCTCCGTGAATTAGGTACAAATTTCCAGGCACTGTAATCCTGTCTACTATGAAGGGCTTGAAGATTGTCCATAATAAAGGTCAAAAGGGCTGGACGGCCACCATGGAAAACCAGAACACCGGTTCCTGTGCAAGAACGTAAATGAAAAGAACCTGTGGAATTAAGGAAACCGGAGGAACTAATAAAACCTTTTCAGCGGACCAGTCTTGCGCAAAAGCGTCAATGGCTTCGGCCCCCGGATTCCTAAATCTGGAAAAGAAACGAGGAAATTTTGCATCATAGTAGGAAGCGAAACAGTCGACGGTTAAGGGACTCGACCTATCGATGATGGAGTTGAAAAAAATGATCAGAAAGACCCCAATCATCAACTTATAATAATTTGCTTGCTCGTTAAAATCGGCTTGCCCATTAAGACAAGGGAATCCATTCAATTTCGAGATAGAGTTAGTTTTCTAAGCAAAAATCAAAATATCCAAAGCCAAAGACTGGAGATGAGGTTTCATACTGCCAACTTCAATTATTTTGGAAGCCGCCTTATTATCTGTGAAAACTTTGACGAGAGATTTCGCGGTCAATGGCAAGAAAGAACGTAACGAAAATAACACAGTTTCCAACTACCGCCAAGTTGAACATTTTGATTTGTCATCTGAGGAAACGTTTTTACGAGCCATGTGACCATTACTGCAAATAACCGCTCCCGAGGCGAAATAACTGGCGTCTGAGCAGATGACTTTGTTCATTTGGGGAAATAGAAAACGTCGGTTTAAACGAGAAACATTCTTGTGCAAGAATTCAAGCTCAAATAGACAAGAATTATTAAGTCTGATGATCTTATCCTCATCTTTAGCTATCGCTATGGTGATTTGACAATTGCTGAAGATTACTCTACTGACATTACCGACTACAAGAGATAAAGAAATAATCTGCCCAACTACAGAATGTAAATTCCTGATCAGACAATTGGGGGGTGATTGTAAGGAAACAATAGCCGATTGAAGTTTGTGAACACTACGATCCAAAACCTTAAGAATTCCACTGGTAGCATCCCAAGACATGCCTAACCAAACAATGGATGAGGAAGGGTTCCATTTATTTTTGTTTACTTTTGTTAATGCTATAAACGAAACCAGCTTTCAAGAGATCGATTCTACATGAAGCGATATATCGGCGGCTAATTTAGACTGCTCAGAAGGAGAATAATTGGAACGGGGAACAACAACTAAGCCATCATCCAAATACAATACGATGGAGATGCCTCATGAACGACAATGAGAAACAAGGGCTTCATTAGCTTTGTGAAAACTAAAGGAGCAGAAGTTAGTCCAAACGGCAAAACTGTGAACTGAAAATACTTCTAAATGCCACCTATAATCCGGGAAAAGCCTAAATATTTTAGAAATGGAGGATGAATGTCAACATGATGATAGCCGGATTAGAGACCGAATAAAAATAATAGAACATTTGGCTCAAAATAGTGCAAGGTAATCTTCCAATCTTCGAATTTGAAACAATATTTTGTGATAAAGTTATTCAACCGACTCAGATCTAAAATCAGACGCTTTTTATTCGAGGCTTGACAATCCACTGAAAGAGGGCTAGTGACATAAGTGGGGGCCCCCTATCTCGATGATTTTATTTGAAGCCAAGAGATCGGTAACCGAGTCTGTGACAAAACCGTAATTATGGAGAGCTGAAGCGTAATTTGGGAGGAAATATGATGGAGGTTCTTCTGAAAACCATAACACAAGACCATCCCTTATGATGGACAGAATCATATTCGGTACACCAATACTCACCCAAAAATCAGAATGCAACTTGAGTCTACCTTTGACGTTGATAGTGTATGAATTTAAACCAGGATAGCGATCACAATGTACCTGTATTATGTCGGAAAATTTGTCAGCTTTGTAAGACTTGGAGGATGCTTGAGGTTCTTTGCCGAGTTCTGAGGTTGCAGCGAAGATGGAAGGAGTAAAGGGGCGGAAGGGCAGTGCAAATTGACTGGGGATGTCTCTGGCAGCTCTTCATAACGTGCGGCATTGGAGTACTTGAGTAGACAGAATCTGGACCAACGGCACGGGTTGCTGCAGTTGCAGCAGTTAAAGCTCGACATGCCTGTAAGAAAAAAACCCAGAAAAGCAGAATTGTAGGGGGAGGGTGGGAATTCTGCAACACATGAAGTAAAAGAGAAACAGCGACGGATATTCAGCGACTGCGTGAGCCTGAAGTAAAGACGTGTTGTTGATGTTTGGTTTTAATGGCGCTTTCAGCAACTCAGGCTATCTCCACCAAGTGTACGTTTATTCATTCACTTTATTAATCAGCATCACATTACAGAGTCAGGAAGAAGGTCCCACTTTTTAGAGGCAGGAGGAAACCGGAGTACCCGGAGAAAACCTGCGAGAGCGACTATGGACTTGAAACCAAATGCACTTAAAGCCTGGGCTAAGCCGGGACTCGAACCGGGGCCGCATTGGTGCAAACCGAGGAAAGAGCCGCTACGCTAACCCACTTCCCCAGCAAAGACGTGGGCAAAGACGCGCGCTTTTATGGGTAATGGTCCAGTGCTCAACAAAAAGTAAAAGCACAAAGGTAGAGAGACTGGGAATGCGAGGAATTTGGGCTATGTAGCAAACAAAACTAAACTTTCTTCTCTCTCATGTCTCATGTGAAAATCCCCAGCAATCAAAGCTTTACATATACACGCAAAGGTAATTATTTGTCTAACGAATTGTACGATTAATTGCAATGATTACTGTGGGTTTTCCCTTCCAATTAAACGTACTGGTAGTCACATTCGCACAGATCCTACGGGTTTGCTTCCTTTGGGGTTTCTTTTTTTCCGATTCTGACATTCCTATTCATTTTGGTGCACACACATTTTTTATAGCTTTGCCGTTCAGTTTCGTTTCTGTCATTCCACTCTGTTTGTGAGCATTCAAGACTATCTATCACCATTCTTCGGTGCAATCTCTGCTGCCTTTTACCAGTAAGTACAGTCAACTTTTAAACTCATCGATGCACATAGGATGTGTACCTGTGCGTGATTTTCTTTTTAGTTGACAGTAAATCTATTTTGCGTCACGAGTGATCAATATAGGAGCACTGGAAAAGTTAGTGCCGTCGGTTTTTTATTTTAAGGCGTTGTGTGTGATTCTTCTTCCATATTTAAAACACGAAAAGAAAGAAAAACGAGAAAAAAATGTTCAGAGCCTTTATCCGCGTTATTGCCCTTGAAAACTTTTCCCTTCCTATGCTGCTCACTTTTTGTAAGAACCCGGCCGCCAAAGTTCTGTACAAAGTTCCGTCGACTGGACAAAAAAACTGTCTCAAGATTCACCTTCAAACTTTTTTGTTGAAAAGTTAGATTTTACATAAGACCTAGAAAAGGCCATATTAGTGGAACGAATATGAATTCCCAATGTTGAAGCAGCTGGGATCTCTGCAGTCTTCCAACGACCGACAGAGTACTAATGTTGAGTACCCTCCGGTTCTTTTCAGAACCACACATACTCATAAAAGAGATATTCTTGCATGGTGTTACCGCAAACATTTCCATAATTATACATGTTTCATATATCCCCCTACGGGATACGCCACTGTACTGACGTACTGGACGTATTCGAAACCCCCGGCTTTCTTGCAAAGCACGAACGTTGAACGACAAGAGGTTGGACTTTCTCTCCTTGCTTACGGTGGAGTGGAGAACGTCAAGAGCAAAGATAGCGGACTGAGGCACATAATTACGCCTAACGTTAGTTTTCTTGCATAAAATTGAAAGCATTCGCGATACGGAAAATTAAATCGTTCGGTTAAATACATGGTCGTGAGAAATTTATGTGTATAACTTTACCAATTTATACAATATTATGTGAATATCTCTTTTGGGGTTTAAATATCCCTGTTAAAAATTGTCTGTTAAATACCAATAGATTCTATTGTCAAATGGCATTACTGAAGTTGCTTTTTGGTACAGTACATTCCACTGTCAATTTTTCTCTGTATACTAACAAGATATTCTACTGTTGTACGACTGCTATTGGAAAAGTGCGGTTGTCGGGTTTAGAAAACAACTGTGTTTGTCAGTCGAGGGCATTTTTTTAATAAACAGGTATCCAGAGGTTTCTTGTTAGCCACTGTTGAATTTTACCTGCATCACTACGTGGGTGCCAAGCTTTACTTATTTTTGTCCTCGGTTCTCATTGGCTGTATGCAGCCTGCATGAATTCTTGTACAACAAGGGAGGAATATCTCTCAGGAAACAGTGATGTTACTTTGTATGAACAGAAAAGGGACAGACAGCTTGCTAATAACATGACGTTTATTGTTCCAGGACAGAAGTTTAATCTAATCTGTCTGTAACCGAACAAAGGAGACTAGAAAAAATGTGTGGCAAGTGAACAGAGTGGAACGGTTTATTTACAGAATACTCCGAAAACAGTAATATCTCCTGTTGTTTATTGACATTTTCAACAGAAAAACAACTGTTCGGGTACACAATTTTTTTACAGTGTAAATGATGGATGAATCCATCCATAAATACCAACATCATATATGCAATCCATAAATACCAAATTGTTATTCAGTTTTCTAATAAGGCTACTGCCATCTCGAATCGTTGCCCAGCTGTATTGCTTTTGCACTTGGCGTTCGTAAAAAGTAATCTCAGAACACTGTTCGTAAGTACGCTATGTGGAGAACGCCCGTTGGCGTCATCATAGCCGATTCATCTGAAAGCACATGAAATGGCCCACTTTTAACACAGTTATTGTTTACCTCCAGTTTCTCAAGAACAAAATGGAGAGCGTGGAAAAATTTATGACTGATTTTTACACAAAGCATGTTCAGAGCATGGACAAACTCGCGGTAGATTACACCGCTTATGTTGACAAAGAAATCCAAAAGTGCAACCGTTTGCGTGACATGGACTTGTTCGTCCTGGATAACTCGATCCGTGAGAGCACCGTGGGGCAGTTACGGGGGCATACTCTGGAGGACAAGTGGCGGGTGTTCGATGAAGTCAAACGGTGTGGATTCAGCGACATCATCGTTGCCGCGTTCTCGCACATGACACGCGTGGATGACATCTTCGTGAAGAAGCTGGTGCAACAAGGCGAGAACCCTAGAGGGCTGTATGCTTTCTCTGAGGTAACTGCAGGTAGGTGTGATATTGTGAAGTTCAAATCCAGCCAATCGCACTGTTTGGGTTTTAACTCATTCCAATCTAACCAACAAACCTATCCTAACTAAAGACACCTCTTTACGTATAACACAATCCTAATGTAAATCAAGATCCATCTCAGTCATTATGATCAAAGCAAGGCAGAGGAGACAAGCAAAAAACATTCATAAGCAAAGGCTTTCGGGGTTTGGGCACAAAATATTAAAATGGAAACATGCCACCATACTTATTTTTATTCTTTATTCAAAGGCACAAAAGATAGGATTCCAGACACAGAGACCGTCCCCGTAGGATTGTGCAAGATGAAGGAGACGGGGCTTTGGAACGCGATCTTAGAGGTGGACTTCGGCCGATGCGGTGTACGACTTCAGCCGCTTCAGCATGAAGGACCTGTGCGCGCTGGTCGAGAAGTGGATCTTGTGGGTGTACGACAACCTGAATCGAGACGCCAAAGTCCTGGTCAACTTGCGAGATCTGACCGATATCATGCACACAGTGCCCGTCCCGGCCTTCCAGATGGTCAAGTTCTTGGCCAAGATGCCCGAGGATGTCCGTCCCTTTGGTTTGCTGTTCGAGGAGGCCAAAGGCACCTGTATGCCTGAGGAGTGCGGTAGCTGGGCCAAATACATCCGTAAGATCATGGACGCTCACAACTGGGATGGGAAATTGCTGGTACACATCCACGAGAAGTATGGCTATGCAGACACCTCACAGCTCGAGGTAAGCTAAGTGTTTTGTCTTTATGAAAAGTTGTTAGTTACTGAGCATACATAGAAGTCCAAAGGGCAAGATTGTTATTGTTATGTAGACATTCATAGGCCTATGAGTCTTTTATTTTTCCCCTTTCTTTTGTTTCGCTCATATTTAAGTTTCTTAAGGCCTTAGAACGTTGATTTTCTATTGTGCTTTTGTAAAAAAATGTAGAACTCAAAGGGTTTGTGTTCACAGACTTTACAGTCACTTCACCCTATCCACATCGCCCCCATCCCCACTTCTCTCCGCCGCAACTTCGCCCCATCTCCACTTTGTCCCTTCCGTGTTCGAGCGTGTTGTTATTATTACGGGTTTGTAAGTGTGACGTCACTTCAGTTTTACCACGCCCACTTTACATGCACTGCACATAGGCCGTTTTCCAATACTCAACTTCGGCTGCGTCTCAGGCTTCAACTGTTTTTTACTCCCTGACTTTGAAGCTTTAAGCGCACTAATTCGTCTAATAGTGCTACAAAACATCAAATAAGATTCAAGAGAGCAAAAACTTACGTAATCCAATTTGATTTAAACGCTTCAGTCCCGAAATCAGGGATTGGTTTCGGGGACGAAGCCTGAGACGGAGACGAAGTTGAGTATTGGGAAAACGGCCATAGAGTTACCTGCATTGATCGCCGTTTACACGGAAACATGGAACTGGACGTTAGCGTGCAACTTCAGCGATCGTTCGACGGGAGCCTGCAAATCGTGGCGCGTCCGGGCGCGTGTATGACGTAGTCACTTACGATATCCTCTTTATTCTAAATCGCCTACAAAATTCCGTACAATATTTACATCATTCTGGTTGTCACTGTCATCCACTTCACATTTTTATCACTTCACATTATTTATGGGAAGAATATGAAAGATGTGTCCCCCATTTTTAGGCTGTTTCTGACACGTTTTTGACGTCATAATCTCAAGCCAGCGCTGAATAGATTTGTAATGAATAGTTCAGCGGCTCATTACTACATAGACGGGACGTTTCTAAGTCGGCATCCTTCGAAGCCAACTTTAGAGTAAATGGAAGTCAGTGAAGCGGTTATATATTGATTGGAGTGTTTTCAGCTGCCTTTCACATCCACCTTGAATTGTGGTCCGCTAATGGATATGAGAGGCATATAAAAAACAAATGGACCCGTATTACGTGAAGCTGCGCATTTTGATAAGTTGTACAATTCACCCTTGCCGAAATAAGGTTGGATTAATGAATGAAACAAAAATCCCCAAGTCTCCCCTTCCCTTCTATTTAATGCTTTCTTTCGGGGTATTTTTGTGTTCGAATTATTTTTGTGTGACATATCTCTCGAAGACAGCACCGGATATCTAAAAAAAAAAAAAAGGTACCAAAAACCACACGATCTCCGCTTTGTCTCTGGTAATTATTTAATTCTGGTGAAGAGATGATACGATAATATTAATATATGCAACCCGCGGTCCAGACATAGGCCTAACATTTGCCGTGTTTGAATCGGAACCTCCGACTTGGCTGAGTACTCAAACCGTTTTTATTTGTTGCATGTGCCTCTCTTAAAGCTGAAAAAAGAATGCATGATAATCAATGGGGCGAGGTTGAAATGGGGCGAAGTGGGGATGGGGCGAAGTGGTTAGGGGCAAAGTGGCAACGGGGCGAAGCGACCGACACCGTCACTCCCTTCCCTAGCTCACTACCAATTTAGGGGCCTACGTCTAATGTAAAGGTTGGAATGAACTAAAAACCCCAAAGCACAAAACATGTCGGGGTAATATGTGCACAGTTGACAAAACAAAGAGATGAAATCGTTTCTCCAACAGCAACAACTCCATGTACTAACCTTCCTTCCCTTGTACAAACAAAATTTACCGACCGCCCCCGCAAAAACCCTGGATCTGTCCCAGTTCATGTACACAAAGCGTGCTTCCATGCTCTATTGTGGTCAATTCAACCTTGTAACTAAACAGCTTGAATCTGTGTCGTACATTTTCTGAGAGAGGAAACGGACTCAACGGTGTCGAAGGTTCCATTGCGAATCTGCCAGGAACCAACCAGTAGTCGTGCTGTCAAACTTTCAAGAGTATTTTATGTCAAACACTTTGAGATATCTACGCGTTCTTGAAGTAATGTGTTTAAGACTCTAACACCATACATACTCCCTATCTTCATGCTCTATCTAGCCCCGTCACTTAGAAAAAAAAAGTAACGACTTTAAAAAGCTGATTGTGTAGCTCGAGGCACAAACGTGTTTGTACAAGCCACGATGAAAGCCAGTTAAGTATTCCGCTATTTGCTCAAACACAATTGTATCGAGTTAGGACAAGCACTCGGCATAGAAATATTTCAAGGCCACGAACTATGCGCCTGTCTCCAATGTTTTGTAGAAAGTGGGCTTCCACGCCTTTGAAGTTTTGAACACACGTTAGTTCTAATGACACACATTTGCACTGATTACTTCAGCTGCACGCTAAAGCAGATGACGCCCGACATGATGAGAACATTTTGTCGAAGCAGGGAAATGTCACTGGTTTTTATGAGACCTTTAAATTTGTTTGTTTTGAGTTTTCAAAACATTTGCAACCTTCTGTTGGAAAAAGGAAGACAATGAATCGTTACAAAACGTCCTGTTTACCCTACTTTTGAGTGCGCCCCAATGGAAGAAATGAGACCGAGGGGTATCTCCCAACGTGTCCAATCGCTATACACACTTTAGACTATTGTTACCTAAAACATGCCCCAGATGTCTGAAAAGAATTCTTCAGATTCCAGTTAAACATTGACCAACACAAAGGGGGGGGGGTTCTCTCCGTCTCATACCTTGCTTCATATGCCAATGGTAGCAGCTCCTCAAAAGTCCTGTTGCATTTCTTCCCCTATGTCTTGCCGATAAGTGACATTTGACTTTGTAATTGATATCCACTCTACACTTATGGCAAGCTTCTATTATGTAGATGTTATGTGGATCCATGCTGCTAAACGTTGAATGCTAAAATTCTGGCTTTGGAGGAAACTCTATCTTGTTATCTTGTGTATAATACATGCATCTCCATGCCCATACCAAGCTGTACCAAGTACGATATGTGACAAAGGGGCCCCCTAATGTCACGCATCGTTCCTACTGCACCCCCTGGAAATCTGAAAGGAATTCCAAAGATACTGTAAACCCAACATAAGACACAATAGCGTGGGGGCCCCCTTGCCACATATTCCGTATCAAAAGTATTGTTACAGAACTTTTCAATACGTATAGAAGCTCCGCTCAGTCGAGTGTGCATAGATCATTGCTTTGAGTGCATCTAAACCCATCGTGCGCTTGACAATAAGTACCATGCAAGTGAGTGCCTGGACAGTGGTGGTTTTTTTGTTAACTGTTTCATTATACACTGTAAATATTTTCCTGTACATTTTCACAGTACTTTACTGTAATGCATTCATAAAAGCACAGAAAATACGTGTCACAAACATGTTTGTTTACGGTAGATTATTATTGCAAAAACTACAGCACAATACTGCTCAATTAACAGTATTATTTTACAGAGTAATTATCTGGACTACGTAAAGGCTCAGTACAGAAATCCTCACAGGTAAATCTGTGTCACAAATTGTCCCGGCTAAGATATCTTGAAAACCACACTGCTTACTACTGGAGAGACATCTGCAACTTTCCTGATTGATGTATTGGTATCTTGTGACATCAATCCAAACGCCTGTCCCAATCTTAACCAGACGATACTGACAGTTGAGCTGGGAAATGCCACAAATTGATTAAAAACCATTATACGTGTAGTTCTGAGCATTAACTAACGGCACTGAGGGCATTGAATACGTTTGGAGCACAATCAGCTCTCTTGGAATACATCTCCATCTTCAGAAGACATACTATGGTAATAGAGGTAGACGACGTAAACAATGGACAAAACATAACCAATTATTTGACATGGTGTTTCAAATCCCTACATAAGCAACATTGATACTATACTGAAATCACACACCTACCAACCAAGGAAAGTGCCACAATCTCTAGTCAATGCAACATCTGTGTCAGCATTCAAGGAGGCAGTCGGGCAATATTCTCATTAATGGGTTGTTTTAAATTTGCGTCAAACTCCCCACGCGAGGCGTAAACCTCATACATGTACAGTTGGTGAGATGTGTCCTCTGGATGCTTTTTAGCCGACTATACTATAACGATAGAGAAAAACCAAGATACCCTTATGGCTCAAATAAAGACATCGTGAAACAAATGACAAACTACAGGGTCTGCTCTTTTGACGTCACAGTCATGTTTGTCCTACAAGTGGCTGCTTAAATATAGTTGGCCGTTGGTACAAAAGTAAAAGAAAAATTCACAGTGTTAAAGTCCTGCGCAGCTATCGAAACACGAGATAATAATGCACGTGCTACTAAATACTAAATGAAAATACAACCTTATTCAAAAATCAATGAGAAAAATCTCCATTTTGAACAAATCGGAGGTAAAATCCAGAACCAACCAAAAGGTCATATGATTGTAAGCCAATTCAGCCGATTGGAACCAACTCATGAATCGGCTTGTTGAGGTAGGTGAACTCTAACCAGGGGGACGGTTTTTTTTAAACAAGGAATACTTTATTGGTAAGAAAAGTTATCGTTCATTTATTTATCAGATATTAGCAAAAACCCGGACCAACACCATGAAATTATAAGGCAATGTTTCAAGACGGCGAGTAAGCGTTTGATGTTTCTTCTCCGCCAAATCATGTTGAATGAACCCGAAGCCGCCTTCGCGCTTTTGAACTCCCCGACACCACAAGCTGGATACGCCGCTGGTCAACGAGCGTCAGCGAGCGCATCGAAGCGCCAATAAGTTATTCAAGCATATTTATCTAAAAAGTTGTGTTATTATGCAAGACTCATATTAATTAGGCTTCCAAAAATCATATTAAATGCATCACATTTTCGTGTTCCGTGTTCGTTCTCATTTCCTGCAAGAATGTGGAAGCAAATTCACCATTTTTCTTACACAGTTACAGATGTTAGATTGAAGTCTCTTCAATGTAACAAAACCAGTTTTCAAATCTTAAAAGGGTATATTCAGGTGTTGAAGCATTGTTGACGCTAGTTAACGCTAAATGGCACGACCAGTCACGGAAGGGCGGGGGGGGTACAAGATGGAGATAAAAAGGAAAAAGGGAAAAAGAAAAAATATATGAAAGGGAATGAAAACCTAGCGATGCCCATGTAAACTTAATAAACTTCAAAGATAAATAAAGAATGAGTAGCCTTATATGATATTTCAGCTTTAGACTTTGCGTTTGTTTTTACATTGTAGAGCTTGATGTATGGCGCTGATGGAACCTGGGGCAGCATCTGCATCGACGGTGCTGCCATGGGCAACGCATCCACATGCGTTACCATGATGAACCTCATCCGCCTCGGCAACAAGAAGATTCTCAAGAAATACAACTGCTCGTATCTGAGGAAGGCTGCCACTAACGTGACCAAAATCACTACGGGTCGGGAGCCTCACCTCAAGCAGCCTGTGTACGGTGGGAGAGCCCTGGATTTCGTCTTGGGATTGGCGAAGGAGGACTTTGACTTGTCGGGGAAGAAGCTACCAAGGGGATTAGCTCTTCAGCCTCTGATGAGATGATCCGCTTGAGGATGGTTGAGCTTTTTGGAGACGATCCACAGTTCACTCTTGAGCAGGCTCACAAGATGAAAGAAGTCATGCTTGAAGACCTTCGGAACAACAGGTAAGGCAGGAAGTATCTTTTTGTTAAGGGATTTAAAAAATCCGAATCTGGTATATATTCACAATTGCCTGACAATGGAAAGGCAAAATGTCCACAATGAAATGGTCAAGGGAGGTCTAGTTAGAACCAGCAATGTCAAAGAGGAGGAAAGTGACTTATTATGTTTCAAGGACATGAGAACAAACTGGGTAGACCTGGTTTAGTAATTCGTGTACACGACATAACAGAAGACACAAGATAACAAATGATTTGAAATGTATCGCCAAAAGACACGTGATCAGTGATACTTAGTGTGAAGATAAACTACCACACTGTGATTATACCAAGGTCATGTTTTATCATAGCCGACACTTTGCTCGTGCCAAAGCATTGCCATTGGCGAACCAAACACTGAAATAACGCTTCGCTAAAAAGAAGTGATCCCGGCAACCTCGTGGTCACAGGTCGTGCACAATGTGAAGTCACGGTGCAATCACAGTGCAAAGCCATCAGCCTTTCTCAGCGCCGCGCGCCCTGTTTGGGCACTNATGGTGACCCTGACGTGATTTGCCTGCCATGTAAACTTTTCCCTCGTGGTTTTCCGTGGATTGTGTGAATGATGGCTGAACACAAGACATCCAGACGAGCTCTGAGATCCAAACGGACTGCACCACTTACACCTGTGGAGGCTGCGTTGCCAAGATCAGAGGCTTCACCTGAGTCCTCTGAGCCTTCCGTGCACATGCTGGGCCAGCCTGGCCAGAGTGAGGAATCTACCCAAGCCAATCTTCATGCCGGTGACCAAGCTGGTGGCCATGCTGGCAACCAAGTCAGTGGCCAAGCCAGTACCCATGCCGGTGCCCATTCCAGTGCCCACACCGGGAGCCAGGCTGGAACCAGGGACAAGACCAACCTCAACCGCCAGTCCAGCAAGCACACCAGAAGTCAAGCTACCAGCCGTACTCACAGCCACACCGGTAGTGGCTCAAGTTCTCATAAAGGCTCTGTTAACAGCTCCGCCCTCTCCAAGATAAGGGTTGCTGAACGGGAAAAGGAGCTTGCTTTGGCACGCCAGCACCTGCAGTGGGAGCAGAGCGTCTGCAGGAAGACAGAAGAACTGGAAGAACAGTTACTTTCTGCACAGCGCGCAAGAGGAGAATTGGCCCTGAGGGAAAGGGAGCTTGAGATTCGACGAAGGAGAGAGTTGGAGGAGGAGGAACTCCAATTGGCGAGGGAACGACTCCAGGCTGAGCAAGAGGAGCAGCGTATCTTGAAAGTCAAGGAAAGACTGGCAAGACAATTCGAACTTGAGAAACGCTGCAAGGATGCCGAACTGAATCTAGCCCAAGCTAGAAAAGTGTCTGATATTATTCAAACTAGTAGTAATGATCAGTTAACCAGTTCTGATTTTCCACCGCTTAACCCAGCTGCGGCCCCTTATACACCGGCTACATCCGGTGTTAACCAGTTTGTTGCTGTTACAGCCACTTCTTGCCTTCCAATTGGCACTTCACCCGACATCGTGCATTCTGATTTGCTCGAATCTCCTGCCTTGCCCGCACCCGTT